TATCAACCATTGGGCCCAAGAGAATCAGCGAAATGAGAAAAAACTACCCCACATGGCGGATCTGTCAAGGCTACAACGTTGCCAGATGGGAATTGCTACTGTTTCAAATAAAAAATCCTCCATCATAATTAATTAATGGAAAGAAGTAGATTTGGTTCAAAAAGCGGGGGACCTTTCCGCGAAACATGCGATATCCCCCCGGATATTATATCCCCAAAAAACTTCCCATCTAAAAATCCCATAAACGGCAACTCTATCAAAGTACCACTGGTACTCCGCTCGTCAAGTTTGTGGGTTGTTCTTACAGCTCGAGTGACATCTATGTGGTGGACGACCAGGTCCGGCTTCTGAGAGGTGGACTCATTCAGATGTATCGATATTTGCTTGTTTGCTATCCTTCATCTGTTTCCAAATTATTTGCCCTATACCGTACTGATGATTAATAATAATAATAATAATAATAATAATAATAATAATATTTATTCGCCAAAATACAAAAAATGGGCAAATAAATATGAAAAAACCACAGAAGGCATCGCCTGTGTGTGGTTTATATCTTAATAACTAACAATCAATCATATACATATGTGTATAACAATTATTGTTAAATCTAGAAGGTATTAATGTAATTAGAATTTTGTAGTTTTAGTTTTCTATATAATTATGTATAGTCATTCGCTGCACATTACTAACCCAGTCTTTCAATTTTCTTCTAATTTTTTTTCCAGAATTAAGTATCTTTATTTCGTTTGGTACTACAGTATATAATTTAGCTGCTAAGAATTTAAATGATTTTTTGAATAATGTTTTGTGTGGTCTTTGGATATTAGATGAGCCTATTCGAAATCGTGTGTTATGCTCGTGTTTATAGGATTTTTTCTTTTTATTACAATACTTATGGTATAAGGTGGTGGCATGTAGGTAATAAAGTTGTCTTGTATCAAGTATCCCTGTTTCCTGATATAAGTTGTTCGTCGGATATAATCTTGGCTTATGGAAAATGGCTTTCAAAACAGTTTTTTGTGCTATATTCAGGTCAGAAATATATGTCTTGCAGGCGGCACCCCAGGCTGTGATGCCGGATATTATATGGGTTTCAACTAAGGCATGGTATAGGATTCGCAGATAACTTTCTGTAAGAATGTTAGCAAGCATTTTGAGTTTATAGGCAACATTTCTAATTTTTTTGATAACATATTTAATATGGTTATCCCACCTTAGATGTGAGTCTATAAATATTCCAAGATATTTCAAAGTGTTAACTCTATCGATTTTGGTCTTTTGGCCATGATAATTAACGGAAATTTGTTCGAAGGTAGGTAAAAATTTTGAATAGGATGTAAATGCAATAAATTTTGTTTTTTGAAGTTAACTGTTTAAAATTTTAGTATCAAACCAGTCAATGATCCTTATAAAATCCTGTTCAGCTGTTTGCTTCAGTGTGCTCCAGTCATCAGCTTTATATAATACGAGGGTGTCATCTGCAAAACATATAATCTTTCCAGAACTGTTAATTTTGAATAAGTCATTTAAGTAGAGACTAAATAATAGTGGGCCTAGTACTGTTCCTTGAGGCACACCACACTTGATGTACATTTTTTTACTGTAAGCGTTAGTGATTTTGACAGTCTGTGCCCGACTTGAAAGGTAAATTTTTAAAGGATTTGTGACGCTCCCCTAAATCCCAATCTTTCCATAACTTTCAGAAGCTCGACATGGTTAACCGTATCAAAGGCATTTTTAGATCAACAAAGATACCAATAGTAGGTATCTTTTTGTTGACATTAGAGTTAATTTCATCCATTGCAGCCAAAATTGCATCTGTAGTAGATTTTCCTTTTCTAAATTCATATTGGTCAGAACATATAATTTTGTTTTTGTCCAAAAATTGTAATATCCTTTTTTGTAGTAATTTTTCGAAAATTTTGGCTATATTCGATAGTACTGATATGGGTATTTAATTTGATGTTTCCATTTTGTCACCGCTTTTATAAACAGGAGTAATAACAGTTATTTTAAATGCATCAGGACAAATTCCAGATTGAAAACACCAATTAATGACGTAAGAAAGTGGTTCGGCTAAGTCGTAGGCTATTATTTTTAAATGGTCAGCTTTGATACCATCTACACCAGGACTTTTTTTGGTTTTAAGTGATAGGACAGCTTCTTGTACTTCAATCGGACTAACGCTTTCTAAAAAGAATGAATTGGGAAGTTGGGTTTTTGTGAACTTTTCGTTCGAAACCATTTTTTTAATACTGGATGCTAAATTTTCTCCAACATTAGTGAAAAAATTTAAGAATGCATCGGATATTTGTCGTTTATCTGTTAATATTGTTCCATCACGATTCTTAATTTCATCTATATTTGGCTTTTCTTGAACGTCGTTGTTAGTGATCGACAACTGACCACAGTTTTCTTGGATCAGATTTGGCATCTTGTAATTTTTTAGATAGAATTGGCGTTTTGCTTCTCTAACTAGATTGATAAAAATATTTTTATATTCTTTATATTTATGGGAGGTCTCTGCACATGGCGATGCTTTCATTAATTTGTATAGTTCCTCTTTTTTGTTGGCAGACTTTATCAAACCTTTAGTTATCCAGGGATTCCTGCTTTTGTCAAAATGTTTAATTTTAACTCTGTTTGTACTACATTCAATTAAATATTTTATGCGTTCAATGAGTGTGTTTGCAGCATCATTAACGTTCGTTGCACAGTACACTGCTGTCCACGATTCTAATTTGATATTTGCAAGTAGTTTTTTATTATCGACAAAACACCTAAATTTCACTGTTTCATTATTGCAGATGGATCTACTTTTATTTTTTTCTGGTGATGATATAAGTATTACAGTGGGTAAATGATCGGTAATATGGTGTTCAACAATTAACGGTATGTACCGAAAGAAATTTGAAAAATATTTGATGAAACAATGATCAATGCAAGAACTGGAACTATTATTGACTACTCTTGTTGGTAAATTTATATTTGATATGCTGACAATCATGAAACAACGTTATATACGATTGGTTATAACCGCCGACAAGGAAGGCAAAGAACTATATTCGACTGATAGTACCGTGTTTTGGAGAATGTCACATTTCGGGCAAGAATGACTAGTAGGACAAATCTAATGAACTTTTGTGTCCAAAAGAGGCTATGAAAGTGTTCCCCTATCTAAAAAAGATCAGGCATAGTAGGATAGTGATGTTGACGGAAAAAAATCTTCCGATGTTCTCCGTCATCTAGAGAGAAAAAGCGATTCATCTGGCGAAGCTACAGTTGACTCCGAACCAATCCTGCGAATGTAAAAATTAGCTAACGCGAAGTTAAATCCTTCCTGGACAACTTGGGCATAGAGGCAATCAAAGTTACGCAAGTAAAAAATTCATAACAGGGCAGCAGACCCAAACAAGGGTCAAACGCTTTGGTTACTGAACAAAAGTAGAACCGCTCAATCTTCCGGTTAGCATTCTTACTGAGCATCGCAGGTTAAGGCTGAGTTCGCAGGGGGTATGATGGTTGATACTAAACTAGGTCGGTTAATCTACCCCGAAGAGCCCTAAACTGATCAGCTAGGAGATAACCTATAGGTTTTACCAATAACTTCATGAACAAAATAGTTATTTATGACCTGTAATGGAGCCGCTGAACGAGCAATATTTTTTTTGCATCATTTAGCTGCAATAGAGTAGCTAGCGACAGCCGGCAATATTTTCAGTACGGCCCAGCAATATTTTTACAAATGCATGATATGTCAGACCTACTTTTCTTATCTGATGTTGTAGCCCTTTTGATGAGAATTTCTGGTGTATGTGCTTAAACATTGCAGGCAATATTCCAAAGGTATAGCCGATATGTGGGCGATATAGCCGAGATATATAGTTGGTCATGATGTAATATGTTGTTCATGTTCATAATGTAACACCTGAAACTTATCCTGTCATTTTCACGTTGATAGGATTCAATTATTTGGCCGAGAATCAAACAGTTATTGAATTAAAATGACTTTGAATTAGCAGCGAGACAATGGAGTCCTATAGTTACAGCCAAATGTTGCAACAGTTTTTTGAGTTTCCGTTTTCATCAGTCCGTGATGTCTACTATCTCAAAGAAATCAAATTAAACTTATTCGTGTTTCCTCAAAACTAGATGGGAAAAATGTGCTGAATTCATTGTAGATAAAAAATATTGCTTTATCTCTTGCTCGTTTTAATGAAGCTGACAGAAAATATCCAAAAATGTGGTGTGGTTGTCAGTCCGTGACAGTTTTCTACCTAAACTGATGTATCAATAATTACTGTTGTGACATCCTAGCAACATAGTCAATAGTATCGCATACTAGGCGTGTCACATTCTCCTTACGTTATCCCTAGCTGATTAATTTTCAAAGCCATACTCGGGAGATTGCACGATTTAGGCCCGTATCGTCAATCGTCCCTACAATTGTAGGACGCGTTTATGGCCTCCTTGATTGTCATACTGCTTTCTCTCCTTCAAAAATTTCTAGATTACACTTGTCCCGTGTCAGCGTCAGCGCTCTCCTATTGTGAAGATATTTATGTTTTCTTTTTAAATTGTAGGAAATTTCAGGCTGATAAAACATGATATAACTCAAAAACAAGCACAATTTGATGCAAATAGATGTTTGTGACATAACCTCAAAATAGAATTCTGACACGGAGAAGTAGAAAACTATGAGGCCATAAAGGCGCCCTACAATTGAAGGGCCCGGTGCAAAAACCGGCCAAAGACCAATTTTGTCAAAATTGAGATTATGACTTTTTTTGCTTTGAAAAATGTATCCGCGTCGTTTGGAGCAAGAACAGTACACGGATTATGTATAAAACTCCACTTAAATCGACGTGGTCGCTTTTTGCACCAAATATATCCCATCAATATTATTGGGCGCAATAAGCGGCCACGTGACACACATAGCCGGTTTTTGCGCCCAAACTTGAGCAAGGTCTAACCTTACTTTTCTGACGTTTGTGGAGTGCACATCGCCTTGTGAAAATGGACAGTTCAAGTGAGTTTTCCAGTGAAAGTGATCCATACCATGACTCCGATAATTATGATATGGACCCAGATTATGTATTGGAAAGTGAGAGTGGCAACAAAAATGGCAGAAAGTGTTTTATTAAATCATTAAGTAATGCCTATTCTGTTACTGCCCAACATGCTTTGAAAGACGATAAGGAACAAGGTAATTTGATCAACTTTAAAAAATGATAAAAATAACAATGATGTAAATAATTCCTTGTAGATGAAGAAATAAATAAAGCTAGTACGTCAGGTATAAATCAGACACCTATCTTAAAGCATGTTACTGCAGGCGACAACTCAAGCAGCTCAACTGAGGAAGGTAAGTAATCTAGTATTGTTCACTGGCTTTGTAATGCATATATTTCTTTTAATGCAGATGAATCTGCAGAAAAGCCTCTAATAGAAGAGGGTAAAAAACGTCAGCGCACTCCTCAAGCATGGAAAAGAAATGTAAGAAAGTTGGAAAGGAATTCTGGCAAAGAATATAAAAGTAGTGGAGGTAAAACTATTGAAGCAAAACAGCAGGGATTCAGATGTGATTGTCGTAAGAAGTGTTTCGAAAAATTCACGGAAATGGAAAAAGATGCAATATTTACAGAGTTTTATGCAATGGGAGATAAGAACATTCAGGATAGTTACTTAGCAGCGCTCATAGATGTAAAAAAAGTCTCCAGAAGGAGGAAAACTAGCGTGGGTGAAAAAAAAAACAGATATTCTTATGGTTATAGTATTAAAATCTCTTCAAAAACTGAAAAAGTGTGCCGCACAGCATTTTGTAACTTGCATGCGATTCACAGATCACGAGTAACAAGAATTTCACAGTTTCTGGTCTGCTGCTTCAAAAGGATTCCCGTGGTAAGCACCATAACCGACCAAACAAATTACCGGAAAATGTTGTAGCACAGATTGAGGACCATATAAACAATTTTCCAGCACGTGAATCACACTATTCACGAAATGAAAATAAAAAGAAGTACCTATCAGCAGAGTTGAATGTCCGCAAAATGCATGAACTTTATTTGCAATAATACGAACCTGAACAGTACAGCCTGATAGAAAGCCATGAAAAAGCGAAACCTAAAGTAACGTATGACTACTATTATAGGTATTTTACAGAACATTTTAATTTGTCATTCGGATATCCGCGTTCGGACACTTGTGCTACTTGTGACCTACTGAAAATAGAACTTGATGCCGCTTCTACGGATGAACTTAAGCAGCAACTAAAAGTTCAAAAAGATGTTCATCTTCAGAAAGCTCAAGCTTTCTACGACGATTTGAAAGAAAAAACTGAAATGGCACGAACTAACGAAACTGTTGAGACTATTTGCTTCGATTACCAGCAAAATTTGCCTGTTCCGGTGTTGACTACAGGGGACATATTTTATGCTAGGCAGATTTGGGTATATAATCAGCTTTTCTACTCTTGTTCCAATAACAAATCGGTTAGTTATATGTTTGACGAAACTGTAGCGAAGAAAGGCTCTATAGTATCAGTATCCTTTTTGTGGCATTTCATTAACAAATATATAGGCAGGTCAGTTACCGTTTTGCATATCTTTACAGACAACTGTGGGGGGCAAAATAAAAATGGGGCAATGATCCACTTTCTGTCAACTTTAGTCAACAACGGAAGATTTTCTAAAATAGTGCATCATTTGCTAGAGCCGGGTCATAGCTTTTTGCCATGTGACCGAGATTTTGCACAAATTGAAAAAAGAAACGTAAAAAAGAACTTTTGTATTTGCCTGAAGAATGGTATTGGTTAGTAGAAAACTGTGGTAAGAAGTTTACCGTTGAAAGAGTAACACAGGATATGGTGTTTGATTTTAAAACATATCTCGAGCCTTTTTTTAAAAAAACTTCTGTGGTTAAAAAACAACCATTTACATTATCGAAATATAGATTCTTTATATATGATTCCACATTCCCTGAGAATATTTCAGTATCTCAAACACATAATCCTGCCATTACAATCTCATATCCCTTAAATAAATGCGCAGGTACCCCTATTGACCTAAACAGAGCTCCTCTAGCATATAACAAGAAGCTACCACTGAAAGCAGCTAAATACGATAGCATTATGCCATTAGTGAGAAAATATGTGCCCCCCATTTCGGGACCTCGGTTGGCCGCGTGGGTCAGAGTGTCGTGCTACTGATCAGCCGGCCGGCCGGGCCGCGAGTTCGAATCTCGCCTTCGCCATGGATGTTGTGTGTTTGTTTTAGGCAGCAGCGGTGGCCGCAGTAGTAGACCCTTCGGTCTCCTGATCAGCCGCCGTGCGCTGTGCGGGTTCGAGTCCCGTCCCAGGAGAAATGTTTCTCTTGGCCATGGATGTTGTGATTGTCCGTAGGTGGTAGATGGTCTCTGACTGTCGAACGCGGAGGTACCACCCGGCGGTTCTCGTAGGCGGAGCCAGAATGTGTGCATGTTGCATGCACACGTGTTCCCTCGCCAGAGTCCGTGTGGCGTCCCCCCTTTCCCATGTATCCCCCATAGCCCCACGGTACCCAATGGGTGCTTAGGCCTTAGGCCTTCGTGGTAGTTGGAGTATAAAAAAAAAAAAAAAAAAAAAAAAAAAAAAAAAAAACATTTTATGATACGATCGAAAGGACAGATGGGGATTCTGATTAGAGCTTATTCGTTTGATTATTTCTTTGGGTTACCTACTAAAGTGATGTATGCACTTTTTTTATTGATTAGTTCGATATACCTTATTCAGACTGTTCTGTTTCGTTTGATTGTCGTTTAAATTATTTATTTACGTTACTTAAGTGTTAGTATGCACTTTGTTTATTGATTAGTTCTATTATACCCAATAAAGAATATTTTTTTTGAATAATAATAGCATTTCTTCTTTTTTTATAAGAGTTCCTCCCATTTTGGTGACAATAACCGTCCACGTGGAAGGTTCAATTTCAAATTTCAAAAAATCTAAAGTAAATATTTGTGCATATATTGATGGAAAAGATGAGTTTTTGGCCAAAGTACGGCTGCAAAATAACAAATTTCGCAACACTTTAACTATGAGTGAATAACGAGTTTTTCTCATTTTTCTCAAAACTAAGAAATGTGCACGTGGTCGGTTATTGCACCGGGCCCTTCAATTGTAGGGACGACTGACGATACGGGCCTTAGTTTAGGATCAAAAGAGAATTGTCTGATTGAAACTGAACATTTTCTAACCTCAAATAACCGTCATACTCTTGCAACTCTAACTTAAATAGACGAATTTTCTACTGACTGGCAGAGACCCTGAATCTGTTCGAAATCGGACGACCGGTCTGATATCGCTACTGAGTTGACTAATTAAATGAATCTATCTACTTGGTGTTTTTTCAAATTGATCATAAAGAAGTCGTTGCCCCCGAACCTATCAATATGAACGTGGTCAATGCTTTTTTAATAGGAACAGCTCATCACTGTAACCCAATAATACTACTTATCAACATAATAGTTTATATTATGTTTGTCAAGCTGGAATTTTTATTGTAAGGGTGATCAAAACATTTCTTATCGTTATGGTTTGTTTCTAGTTCACTATTCCAGATGTCGAAGACGTTCGAATACAATACATTTCAATTATGATACTTTTGTCCGGAAAAAGACCGCCTACCATGGGCATCTGATTCGCGCTTTTTGGCAATTCATCAGCAAGATTTAGGCTTGGGATCTGAAAATCGCTTAAATGAGTCATGCATCTGTGACTTTCTAAACATTAATATATTTGAAGCCGTAAAAAGTAGGTGTCTAATATCCTTTATTATCTACTCTAAAACCATGCTGAGAAACACATGCAAGGATGATCTTGAACTCAAAAATAGTCTCTTTAGTATTTGATTGTTGATTAATTTGATATTGTTTTAAGTTATGCATATCTCAAACAGGACTTGGTCTTTATGATTAATGCAGATATTATTTATGATGCCGTTATTGATAAAAATATTGATGAATTATTATCGAGCCATAGGTCACATCTTTTGATGAAACATACTGCAACGGTTACCGATTTTACGATGAAGGCAGCAAAACGTGGATTGACATACTAACGGAATTGGGTAATACGAATTTTTTTCATGCATACAAAGAAAGTCAAATTAATGATAACAGCAAAATTTCACCAACGGAATATAAACTTCCTGCTGGAATCAACCCAGAAAAGGTATGCGGACACAATGGCGCCATGTTCAAAATATAACATACAGCCATAAAACATTTTACGATAGTCATCAGCGGAACCTGCGCCTAATTTTAATCGCATTTTTGACGCGATGCGTCAGGAGGTAATGCAGCGCGCATTAGGCGTGTACTGTTGGACCAGCGAAAGATTGCAAGCCGAAAGAATGCGGACAAAAAATTGCGAAGTTGTCAGATGTTCTACATAAAATGCGGTCCATACATATTAACATATTTAAGATATAGAATTGTTCCGCTGAATTTGGCAATGTAGCTGGAAAACCCAGGCCGCAGGTAAACATCCGGTCGCTGATTGGTCCAAAACTCTTATCTTATCTGAAACTAGAATAACGTGCCGATGGCACGGTCATTTATAAACCTACTCCCATAGGCGTAGGCAGTTGGCAAATACTTTGAAAATATAATTTACTGTTTAGTGGTGATAATGGAATTCAAGCATGGGAAAGTTATTCACAGCCAGGCAAGGGAAATAATAGCAAACGTGATACGTGCTTGCGATGCAGAAGCGGCTAACAATACTTTCGTTTATCCACTGGTAGCTAGAAATGCAAGGGCGGCATATTATACGGGTGTTAGTGAACGAACTATAAGTAAAATTAGAAAAGAAGATAAAGACAGGCAAAATGCAACCTCCACACAGCCTTTAGCTTCTCCCGGAAAAAAGAGATCACGCCCTTCTGTGATCCAAAAATTGATGGAGTCGATTTTTCCATTATTCGGAGAATGATAGAAAAATTTTACTGTGATTTTAAAGTGGTACCTACTTGTAGTAAACTTCTAATCAAACTGAAGGAAGAAATGGAATTTCCATTTGGTAAAGAATCGTTGAGGCTGCTTTTAAAAGCAAAAGGATTTTACTGGCGTAAATGCCACAACAAAAGGAAATTACTAATGGAAAGACCCAGTATTTTACATTGGCGATACAAGTATCTTAGGTCTATTAAAAAGTTCCGGGAAGAAGGAAGGCATATTATTTATTTGGACGAAACTTGGGTTGATAATGACCTCACTTTCAAGAAATGCTGGCAAAGCGAAGAAATTATGGGTGTCCTGAGCAATATAAGTTCTACAGGTAATAAAGTTTCTTTCACCTCGATTTTGCTTATTATACATTTTTCTCAATTTTGGAATATTCTTAATAAGTGCTCATTTAATTTGTCTAATTGAATACATAATCCCTTGCAAGTATTTTTTTCTCAAAAATATGTTTTTTATACATAGTGATTCAAAAAGGTGTTGGCAAACTTAAAATAACACTAAAATGAGGCTATTTATTCATTTCCAGGACGACTTATAATTGTTCATGCGGGTTCGCAAGATGGTTTTGTTCCTGGAGCCTGTCTCATTTTCAAGGCTGGCTGTGCCACTGGTGATTATCACGGTCAAATGAACCAAGAAAATTTCACGAAGTGGCTTACTGAAAAACTATTTCCTAACATTCCTCCTAATAGTATTATAATAATGGATAATGCACCTTACCATTCAGCTTTGGAAGACAAGCCTCCAACTAGATCTTCTCTAAAAAGAGACATCATCACGTGGTTGAGCAAAAAAGGTATAGAGCATGATCCTAATGCTAAAAAAATGGAGCTTTATGAAATAGCTTGTCTACATAGGCCACCATCTGATGAGAAAAATTATAAGATAGATAATTTAATAAGAAGTTTCGGACACACCCCACTTCGAACGCCACCCTATATGTGTCAGTTTAATCCCATAGAGATGATTTGGGCACAAGTAAAATTTTTCATTAGAAGCCATAATACAAGCGGCGAATTTACTATAAAAAAACTAGATGAAATTTCTAATAAGGCCATCGCTTCAGTAAGTGCCAGTGACTGGCAAAAGGTTATTGGACATGTTATAAAAATTGAAGATGAATATTGGGAAAAAGACAGTCTCATTCAAGAAATACAGGAAGAAATAATAATCAACATAGGAGGTGAAAGTGATAGCAATGACAGTTCCTCAGACAGTGATCATGACTCTAATCAGGATTGAAACTATACTAGATTGGCTACCTTTTAGAATTTTTAGATATTCATTTATTATACTATTGGTTTGTGGCTTTTAGTATCTCAGTAGAAAGTCTAATTCTATGTGTTGTTTATGGGTTATTTCATCAAGAAATTACTTTTTGTTTTCCTATATTTTTCTATTCAGTCAGATATTTTTGACTTGTTGTATTCTATTTTAGAAGAATGCATAATTTGTTTTGCTGTTCAATCATAATGCGTACATAGGAATATTACTTGTTGCCTAAAAAATATATTTATTTTGTTCTCAATATTCAGTGTTTGTGTATATTTATTTCTTATAATGTATGTTTGGTATCACGTCATTATGAATCGCAAAAAAATATTAATACTACCAGTTGTAATAAAATATAAATTCAATTAATAATTCAAGTCTCTCCGATCTCCGCCTATGACTCCATATAAAATCGTCTAATGGTAAGGTTTTTTCATCGCATTTCCCCCTTTCGTCCCTAGCAATCTTTGGCTGGTCGATCAATATTTAGGGTTCATCGCCGGTACACCATGGCGCGCTTCCGGTGCTAAAAGGGCCAGAATCCCGTAATCCGCTTACTTCCGGCAGTGCGGGTTTCTGGCTCGTGCTACCGGACGGTCATAGGTGCGGTTTTAGTACGGAACTATTAGACTTTGTGCAAAAATCGTAAATGAGTAAATTTGTGACTTTGAGAGCCCTCAAGCAAACGATCTCATATGATGTCATACACGAAGCTTCGCGTAAAAAACACGCCCAAAATAAATAATAGTTGTAATAATCAATGGTTTTCATTGCCATGATAAGCACATAAAGAAATTTACGAAAAATTAAACAAATTCTAGGTGTTTTCCAAATGGTAGAATTCGGTTACTTACTACCGTATAGAAAGATCCGCTCTTGCATTCAATCAAAAGAAAATACAATAATTCTTTCCTAGACCTTACCGTGATACAACTAAGAAACTTTTTCCTAAAAGAGTTGAAGAAACACCATTAGAAGGGAGTTAAGTTTATTATTTATTATGTTTCATATTATACGGTCACCAGCCGGTTTTCTAAATAAATTCATAGACAAACTACTGTATGAAATCGGTACCTTATTATACAGTCGGGCGACATTGTATGAAAAAGTAACACTGAAAAACGATGTACAGAATTTAGGAGTAGAGAATAAGTGTCTGTAATGCAGGCCGAGAGTGTGGATGTCGGTTCTGTAACGAATTTTGTTATACAGATAAGCAGGAGTTTGTTTTGAAACGTTTTGAAGCATACAAATTGAATGCAAGGTCCCTCGATATTTTATTTGTAATAGTTATAGACTGGAGTAGTGTTGAGAAACATAGTCACAAAATATATTTTTAAAACGAAGCTTTCATCTTTCTGGTAATAGAACGAACTGAAGATTTTGCCCTCTTAGCTGATAAAGCATAACACGCTTTCATGTGAGAACTTTAGACGAAGGAGCTGCGATATCGTTTAAATGTCAGGAAGTATAAAACGGCACATTTACAGTCAGAAAAAATATTCTGAATTTAAAGTTCGTTTTATTAACAGCTAAATACAAGCTTGTTTTTTAAAATATCTTTTTTCTGTTATTCATTTTTTACTTTTTAGGCTATATGATTTAACTAGTTCAATCATATCTGCCTAGGTAATTTAAGTAAGGTACCGTCGGGTAATAAGGCCAGGTTAACATTCTTACTTTTTTATTTAATAACACATACACATTTTCGACTTTGCGTATATAAAAAAGGTAACTAAGGTATTTGTTTTACAAAAATATTAATGAACAGAATCTTAAAAAACATATGATACCACTTAGACACTAGAATGACAAAAAAATGCATTTTGGCCTTATTACCAACCTAGGCAGGTTATAAGGCCCAACTTAGCATTTGTTAATTAACGCACAAAAAAAGCAAAAAAACAGTTATTTTTAAAAACATAAAAAAGAGAGACTAAGAGTAAACAAGGTAAATTATGGCTGGCATTGCGGACAAATAAATTCCTCGGTGTCATTTGCAGTAAGGCCGACGCATTCCTCATGCACCCATATTCCACATAATACACAGGATCGCATGTCAGCTACAAAGGCCTTATCACAAACGGAGCACATCCAGTCTTCTTCTCTAGCAGCTCTGCTAGTGGTCGGCAATTCAGTCGATTTCCTTGATTCACTGGTTTTAATTTTTTAGAACTGGGATCTTTAAAAACATCCCTTTTTACTTCCTGAGCTCGATAATTCAGGGCTTTTTTTCGTGGTTTGGTTTTAACTAGCTGCATATCGGGAGTAATGAGCTCTTTAGCGAATGAGTTATTTAGACATTGTGCTTCTTTTTCGATCAACTGAGCTAATGGAATTTCATCTTCTGAGTCCCAGTGGTCTTCCAAACTAGGCGGATTACTGATCTCAACATCAGACAAATTGGGCGCATTGTTTTCGTCATTGTGGCGCTGCGTAGGAAGACTGGGAGCAAATGCACACTCCGGTATCGCATTTTTGTTAAAAGGGTAAATCCCGGTTGCTCTAAACCCACTACAGATGTTGCTGATGGTCATACACTTACCCCAAACAGGAGTAAAGACATCTGAGAACCTTTCTTTATTTAATCTTCTGTCAGGATGTTGATCCCAGTAATCTACAAGCTCCTGATCCCAGTGGGCTTCAAACGACCGGAAGACGGATTTGTCCATTGGCTGGAGCTCGTGGGTAGTATTACTAGGTAAACATAAAAGCTCAATCTGCAATGATTCTGCCTTTTCAGCGATAGTCACATCGAGGTGACTTGATGCTCCATCGAAAATTGAAATTGTTGGAGGGGGCGACCTGAATTGTGCAAAATGATCCAACCATTTAAGGAATATCTCCGTAGTCATGCTTCCTTTTTGAGTCATATGCACAACTGACCCTGCTGGAAGTCCATCTGAAAAAGTTGGTTTTATTCTCTGCCCTTTAAATAAAATCATTGGAGGTATCGCATTGCCGAGCGCATTTGCACATGCCACAATGGTTACATTTTCTCCATGTTCTGACCCTATCAAATGCACTCTTTTAGCTCCCTTCTCTGCTAGAACCCTCTGCTGATGGTGTAGCATGAGTCTACAGCCCTTCTCGTCCATATTATAGATATTACCAGGCATATATTTAAGGCCAGTTCTCTCCAAAAGGTTGTTCAGCTTCTCAAAATAATCATCCACAATAAAATGGTTTAATTTCTGTGCACGAGCAGGATTTAATTGCTGTGCCCTTCGCTGCGAAATATTTGGGTGTCGCTTCAAGAATGCTCGGTACCATTCTTTTCCTGCTAATTGCTTCTCTTTATCGAATTTATGATTAACATTAAGTCGTTCACAAAATTTATAAACGGTACGACGAAGCACTTTAGAGGTTAGTGGAAATCCTTTTTGTGCAAACCGTATTATCTTTTCAACCAAATCGTTTTCTTGTTGTTCAGTTAAAAGGGTTTTTGTACCGAGGACTCGTTTGGTTGAACCAGTTTTCAAATGGTTTCTCAATGTACGACGGGGAATATTACAGCGTATTGCTACCGATGCTTGGGAATGACCAAGTCGCACAAGTCGCAGTGCTTCCTCCATCATTGCGTCTGTCCATTTTGCCCTTATTCCGCGATTCTTTTTCCCCATGTCTGTAAATAAGGAAAACCATAAGTCAGAAAAAAAACTAATGTATGTACATATTATTTATGTAGCATACATAATTTTAAGATGTGCTTTATTTCTAGATACGTAGGTTATTTTTAAGTCATTGTGACAGGCAATAAAGCAGTGACCTTATTATCATCTGTCTAGACAGGAAATAAGGCCCGGGCCTTATTACCTGTCTTGCACGTTTATAATTTTTGAGGTTAAATATCATTAAAAAATAAAAAATTATTTCAATGAACAGATTACAAGTGTTGTCGACATCAGGATAAACCTATATGTTCCAAAATATAGACAGATTTCAATTGTACTAGTGAAAATATCACATACCTTTTATCGAGAAATTTTATAGCACAGCACTTGAAATGTAACGAATTTTGTTTACGGCGCACTGTTTCCAAGCGGAGTATCTGACGCTCTTCAGCCACATGTTATTTGGATCAGTTGAAGTCATCCTACGTACAGATGGCGCTAGGCTTATGATATATTCATTTCTATGAGATTTTTAACTGTGTGGCCTTATTACCTGTCCGGCCTTATTACCCGACGGTACCTTATATATTATTCATAAGACCTCTTACTTCATTTACACGGATCTATAAGTATCCTTGCTCAGTTAATTGAAGAAATAAAGTAAACTTGTATTCTAGAGTACTGTTTAATAAAATAATTATTAAAAATAATTAAAATGGTGAAATTTGATATAGTTATAGATGAGTATTTATCAAGAAGAATCAAACGAGCCCCAATTCGATGTGCTTACGTCGAAGTTTTCACCTCCCGGCCCCATCATCAGGTTAACTAAATATATACCATAGTAATATTGCGTTGTCATATTAGATAGCTGCCATATTGGCTTTAGAGTGACTCACTTTACTCATTGTGTTTCGCTTGTCAAGCCATTTCATTCGATACCCTTATCATATGGGATATACTATGGAAATGATAAATCTCCTTTTTGTAGCTTCGAACAGATTGGATTCAAAATAGCGGCATTTCATTTTGTATTGTAACGTGAACCAAATGTGTATATAAATTTCAGAAGAATTGGTTAAGATTAACTGGTTCAAAATGCAGTTCTAAGATTTGACCCAGAGACTCATATCTACCAAGAAACAGATCAAGTTAAATAAAAGCTTGTAATGTTAAATATTTTCAAGACATTCTTAAAGAGTAAGGGGGAGACGCAGGGTTATTACGTAAAAAACCTATACAATGTCAAAAAACCGATGGAATGTCAACGCGTTGACTAGATAGCTGGTAGTTTGCAAATAATTCATTCCGCCTCTGCTGCAAGTGAGCCTCGAAGAGAACGACAACTAGTTCCTAGTTAACATCTTGTAGGAAAATCTACATAATGTCAAATTACTTTTCAAGCTACGTAATGCAAAGCAAATCTCTCCGATGATGCAAATGATGGGACGGACGGACACGGACGGACGGACGGACACACACGCGCACACGCACGCACGCACGCCCGCACGCACGCACGCACACACACTCGTCCATATTCATTTAATAATCTGCAAACAGTTTTAGAAGAGAGCATCTCTTTATTTGTCTACCAGTTTTCAATATAAATGATATGCTTATAATTCCAGTTTTAAATCATTTCCATGATCGGTTTTTCAAGACATCTAACGTGTATTTAGTGAAGTTTCCTATTCTTACAAATCAGATTGAATCAATAGTTTGGATGAAAAACAAGATAAATGTTGAACCACCATAACAGTCGACCCATCTTGCAGTCGGAGTACCTGTATAGGATGAGGATAAACATCAGCTTGGCAAACGATTGGTTAATGAAGATCGTCAAATTTCTCACCTACCTCCGAACAGTGTTTTTAGCTCTTCAAATTCTGCTTCCCGTACGCCTGTCTCCAGGACCTCTAGACCTATACCGACTGTTGCTAATGAGCACAAAACAGCGCTAACTGCGGTTGGTCGTGGTTACAGAGATGAAAAGCAAACATGCCGATTCCAATCGTGAATGGGATCTGTTTGCCTTCCGTTTCTGTGACTATGACCAACCGTATACAACGTTATTTCGTGATCTTGAGGATATGACTTATACCATACAGATGATTGCTAACAAGCATTAGACAACGTTGCAAACGTTCATGGTCACATAGAAGGAAAGCTATAATCCTATTCTGTTAATGTTTGAAAAGATCGAAACGTTCATGTTCAGCTACGCTTCTGGTGCATTTCAGTCCCCTAAAATTAACGACTGCCAAATTCAACCTGCTACGACGTACAATGTTAGGAGCATAGGTCAGTCCTATAATTACATT